TTCTATATAATATTTATAAACATTCAGAACAAAATTTAAGATTTAGATGGATATAGGAATGTTTGACTAACTCACACATACTCGGGTGTGTATGTCTATGTATGTATGTTGACTTATGCACACAAAATCGGCCATAACCCGTTCCCTGGTCATCAAGGGTTAGCGACACAATAAAAAAAAGAAAAAAAAAGGATGACCGAGATTGCATTAGTCCGTAAGTAATCCTGGTTAAATTGATGAGATGTAAATTTGTACATGTGTAAGTCAGGTTACGAAACCAGTAGTCCTAACCCGTTAGTCTGGATTATTAAAGTTTACTGGCCCAAGGAAAAACTGGGCTGGGATCGCGTAGCCCCGCACGTCTGTCTTGGCTGATGAGCCTGACATGTCTGTCAAGAAAGTATTAATTTAGTTAGAACCATCACTCAGCTGACACATTGAATCGTCTTCTTTTAGACGGCGGCTCAACATGCTTTCTATCCTTCAATACTGCAATCTTTCAATCAAGCATAAGTAATTCTTACTCAACTTTCTACCACAATTCCCAACATTCAAGGTATTCCCTAATCTATTCATTTCGATGGCTACTACTAGTAGTCTCTTTATTACTTTGCACGAGCTATGGTGAATATTTTTTAACTATACAAACAATCGCCAAGAGAACACAAAACCAAGAACGATGGCTGGCTGAAATTCTACCTACTTCTTGTACCCAAATTTATGATATAAATAAGGCATTCCATGATTTGATTGGCTAATTTATGCATTGATGCAAGCACAACTTTCATTTATGCAAATGAACTAGCATATTTTCCTGTAATTCTAGGGCTTGCCTCAGTTTCAAGAATGTGTGCGCGTTGTGTGTATACAACACTCATGAGTTAGTTGGCAATTTTGAGCATCAACTCAGACTCCAGATAAGTCAAGTCTTCTCCCTTCACTCGGTAGCTCGTTCCGTTCCTCTCTTCTCTCTTTCTCTCTCATTCTATCCAGTGGCCAAGGGTACTTCGTGCTCAGCTTACTACACTTATTTCTCCTATTCAGGATGTTCTGTGTTTTCTTCATCTCAATCAACTTCCTGATGTTCCGCTTAGTTGTGAAGTACCCATATCAGGAAAAACGTCGGGTTCTATACCATTCTGTG